ATTTCCACGTAAAAAAAAAAAGGTCTGCAGCTGTTCTGCTGAAGTCAGCCTCACAGGATGTTTCGCATGCGGACATCCTGAAAAGAGCCAGACAGAATATTCGCCTCGGGGACATCAGTATCGATAAACCCTGCATAATACCTGCGGCCAATGGAGGTTTCGTTATCGAAGTATTTGGCCCGGATGGTTCCGGAAAGGCAGACGCCTTGGCTGCCAGACTTAGGGACTCTCTTGGGCCGGATATATTGGTGTCACGTCCGGTTACCCGGGGTGAACTTCTCGTCTCCGGTCTGGACATTACTGTCTCGGCAGATGAGGTAGGCTTCTGTTGCCGACGCTGGGAGATCCTCGGATGGAGAGATAAGGGCTGGCCCTCTTAGGGCGGCTTCTAGTGGCCTGTTCTCCATTTGGATTCAATGCCCATTGGCAGCCGCCAACCGTTTAGCGTTGAAAGGCTCCATTTGTATTGGATGGACGACGGCTAAAATCGTGCCGCTGATCGCCAGGCCGGTTCAATGTTATCAATGTTAGGCGTGTGGCCACGTCCGTAACAAGTGTCCGTCACAGGTTATCAGGACTGGAGCCTGTTTTAATTGCGGTAAAGAGGGCCACCAAGCTAGGGCGTGCACCTCTCCTTCATTCTGCGTAATTTGTGAAGAGAGGGGTGCTAACCCTAATCACAGGCTTGGTTCTCGTGCCTGTTCTAGTATGGTAGGCCGTGATCGAGGGACGGCCTCCGGTACTACCAATGGCGATTAAAGTGATGCAGATCAATACCAACCACTGCCGGGCATCACATGATCTCATTATGCAGTTGATGGCTAAGGGCGAAGTTGGCGTGTGTTGCCTCTCCGAGCCTTGGAGGGTTCCAGCCAGTCATCCGCACTGGCTTCCTAGTACAGATTCTCTTGCGGCTGTGAAATGGAACCCAGATTTTATTAAATTGACTTCTTCAGTCTTTTATCGTAATAACAATATTATCGGCGTGCGTTTCGGCGACCTCGGGGTCATTTCTGTATATATATCCCCGAATAGTAGTATTAGCGACTTTTTAACATTTTCTGATAGATTAAGTGACGCTATTGGCTCCGCTGGAGGTCCGCTTATCATCTGTGGCGATTTTAATGCCAAGTCGGTATTATGGGGTTCCCCCTTGACGAATGGTAGGGGAAAGATTTTAGAAGGCTTAGCTGACCAGCACGACCTGGACCTTATGAACATTGGCAATAAACCCACGTGCGTGCGCCCACAGGGGTCCTTCCATCATCGACCTCACATGGGCCTCTGCCTCCTGTGCCAGCCGCATCCGGAATTGGCACATAAATGAGGGTGTGGAATCATTGTCGGACCATAGAGTTGTCACCTTCTCTATTAGCGTGGTCAACGACGTGATAAACAGTGCTAGCTCCGCTTCAGAAAAGTATCCCCGTTGGTCCCTTGCGACTTTAGATGGGGACCTGTTATGCGGCACATTTGACCTCCTGAGTTCGGGCTTGAATGTGGACTCCTCTCCAGACGACATGGCGGTTTCGATTCGGGCTTGGATGACCGACTCCTGTGACATGGCGGCCAGGAGATCTGGTCCGCGCCCACCAAGGCGATCAGTATATTGGTGGAATGACGATATTGCGACCCTCAAACGTCAGTGTGTTGAGCCCGCAGGAGGCTCTCTAGGGCCAGACCCGGTCCTCGAGGGGAGCTTCTTGACATCTTGGAGCGAGAATACCGTGAGGCAAAGAGGGCCCTCAGAAAGGCGATCCAGCGCTCGAAGACCAAAGCCTGGAACGAGCTCATACAGGATGTGGACGGTGACCCCTGGGGTCTCCCGTATAAGTTGGTGATGGGCCGATTGAGAAAGTCCTCTCCTGCTCTTTCGAAGACATTGCCTCCAGTCGTCTTGAACGACCTTTTGGTTTCACACTTCCCATCGGGAGTGACACATTCACCTACACTTGTATGGGAGGAATGGAATAATTTTTGTATTGCAGATCGGGTCGATATTTTGGAGGTATTTCGTGCAATTCGTCGGCCGAGGAAAAAAGGAAATCCTGCTCCTGGCCCTGACGGGATCAGCTGGGTTGTTTGGCACAGAGCCGCCGATATTGCCTCTGATCGCCTTGCGGAGGTTTTTACTGCGTGCATAAAGGACGGCGTATTTCCGCGAATTTAGAAGCATGCGAAGTTAGTGCTGATCCCTAAGCCTTCTGTGGGCTCGGAAATCAAGGCCCGTCCCATTTGCCTTCTGGACGAAGTTGGGAAAATCTTCGAGACAGTCATCGTCTCTAGAATCAAGGCATTCATGGATGAAACTCCTGGTGCAAGATTGTCCCAGTACCAGTTCGGCTTCATGGAGGGCCGCTCTACGTTGGATGCACTTGACATGGTGCTTGGCGCGATTAACCGGGGTCTGGACTCGAACGGCTTTGTCATCGCCGTAAGTCTAGACATAAAGAACGCTTTTAATTCTCTACCTTGGAATACAATTCGTTGCGCTCTTCAACGAAAAGGCTATCCAGAATATTTACGCCGCCTTCTGGATAGTTATCTGCATCAGAGTACGGTAGAATATCCGACGTCTGGAGGCGTCACCGAGGTTAGGCCGGTGACATGTGGTGTTCCTCAGGGTTCGGTCTTGGGTCCTGTTCTCTGGAATATTGCGTTTAATTACGTCCTGGAGATCAGGCCTAAGCCGGGCTGTGTCGTCGTGTGCTTTGCTGACGACACACTGATTTTGGGAACGGCCAAGTCGTTTGAGCTTATGCGTACGCGTGTCAACGATCAGGTGTTCAGTGTCCTAGGTTGTATGAACATGCTTGGGCTGGAGGTTGCCGAGCAGAAAACAACGGCCGTTCTTTTTAAGAGGGGTAGTACAAGGATCCCTTTTAACCCGATCATCAGGGTTAGATCCGCGTTGATGGAAATGTCACCCAATATGAGGTATCAGGGCCTGATTCTCGATTCTCGTCTCAATTTTCTCGAGCATTTTAAGCAGACGTGTTCTAAGGTTACTAATATTGCGCGAGCCTTGTCTGGCCTTATGCCGAATTTGAGGGGTCCTCGCAAAATGAAACGAGTTTTATACGCGAACGTCCTGGCTTCTGTTGCAATGTACAGGGCACCTATATGGTGCGAAGCTCTCGGTAGGTCCAAGGAGGGCCTAAGACTGATGCGTGCCGCCCAAAGATCGGTAGCTGTGAGGGTGTGTGCCGCGTACAGGACTACGTCATTTGATGCGGTCACATTATTAGCGAGACTGGTCCCCTGGCAACTATTGGCCATGGAGCGTGGACGCGTGTATAAGAGGATGTGCGACCTGCGTGACCAGGGAAGCTTGGACCGCGACACCATGGATGACGTTCGGTGCGAGGAGCGCGTACTCACACTTCGCCAATGGAGGACCCGATTGGAGAATGACGGTCTTCCTGGAGTGTGGACCAGGTCAGCTATCGTTCGGGTCTGGTCCGAGTGGATTAATAGGGGATGGGGGCACCCATTTTCACCTGACCCAAATTTTGACTGGGCATGGGTGCTTCGGGTCCTTCCTATTCATGATCGGGAAGATAAACGACCCGACTTGCCCATTGTGACTTGACGGAGGATGCTGCCGAGCATACCCTATGCTCTTGTTCAGCGTGGGATGTACAGCGGGCAGAGCTGGTGGCGGCTCTCGGTGTCCCGGTCTTGAGCTTGGTTTCTGTTTTAGAGGCCATTGTATCCAGCAAGGAGAAATGGTCTGCGTTTTCCAAATTCTGTGGCTCAGTTATGCTGACCAAAGAAAATGCAGAGAGAGCTCGTGAAGCCGCAAGAAGTTTGAACAATAGTCCAAGGGACGATATTAGTGTCGCGAATGGGACCACGGTCCAATAATGTTTTATGGCTCAATGGTTTAACGTTTGTGTGCGCGTGTGCTTTAATTTACTTCTACTAAATCTAATTTAAATTTTGATTTGTCACCTTGCGCATCCGAGGAATTATACATACTACTTATTTATTTTGATTTGTCGCCTTGTGCGCCCGAGGAATTGTATATATTACCAACTCGTTGTAGATAGGACTTTTAATTTACTGTTATTTACTACAGTGATGTCCTATGTTGTATCTAAAAAGGGGGGGGGACTTCCAGTCACTCTTGCTTTAGAATAGGGGTTAGTATACTTCGCTTTTGCGACTGCCATATCTGTGACTAGGATGTCATGGTCGCGTGGATCATCCACTCTGTCGTCCTAACGTATGAATGAATCAATTAATTTATTAGTTTTGTGTGTGAGTCCATCATGGTATGTGATGAATGAATGGTTAGGTTGACAGGTGTGTCGTTTGCCGCCTTTGATTGGGGTCATAAGGCCCATCACTGTTAAACGGGTCTTCCCTGAAGTATGCCTTCGCAGGCGGTTCCGGGGGAGATTCGTCTATAGTGCGAAGGATGGTCCAAAAGAGAGGGTTTTTTTGGCTGGTATTCCCGCTTCACGGGTGAGTCCGGCATAACCATCCAGGACCGGCCTGATGGTACGCGTAAATGCGTTTTTCCCTCTCTCGGAACAAAAAAAAGACTAAGTCGAAAAGTCCTTTACCACTTTGCAAGTTTTGCAATAGTTAACGAGCTGTTAGTTATTAAAAATTGCTGTCTTAGGCCGGCTCATTGCCCAATTCAAACGTGCGGCGAGATTGATCGATCGTTACTAGGCGCGCGGAGAGTTGTTTATTACAAGCGACAATGGCGAGCGGCGCGTCACGCTGGACCGCCGCCGTGCGTTCTGACAGCCCCGCGCCCTTCTTTAATAACAATAAAACTTTAATAAGAAAATTAAAAACATTTTTTGTACCTATGTACGTGCATAGAGAAATATCAATTTTGCTTAAAAAGACGATTACTCAATTTAATTTTTTCTTTCACTAATTGTAAGTAACGGTTGCCTTTAACAAAGAACATTTTTTCTTGATAATGGTCTAAAAATGTACACGTTACAAATATTCATTGTACAAATAACCGTTACCTAAAAGAAGAAAACTGAAATTGAGTAATCGGTTTTGTTAGCACTTGAAAGATATTTTTCTGCACATATGAAAGCAATCGAGCAAAAAAATAATTTTTCTCTATTTGCAGTAAGAAAATGATAGAACGCTATCATTTCCTCACCACCTCGCAGTAAATAGCAAGGCGTATTTTTTTAAGTGGTATACCGAGTAGGTCTAATCCACTTTATATTAAAATATGAGAATATCTTCATATTGTAATGCAAAAATTGTTCGAATTGTGACGCCTCATATGTTGAACAGATCAAACTGCATCTAAAAACTCGAATAAAAGAACATTCGAATGATATCAGGAAACACGTGAACAACCACTCTGTGATCAGCAAGCACCGTACATCTCTTGGCCATGATTTCGATTGGTTGTCTCTGCATGCTTTACACCGTGAGAGTAACACAAGAAGGAGACAGATAGCTGAAATGGTTTTCATAAAAAAGACTAATGATACAACCAATTTACAAAATGACACGGAAAATCTTAATGCTATTTATGACCGTATTATTGACCTAACTTAATTCCAGATATCACTATTTATTTATTCTTTTGACTATTCTTTGTTTTTAATTGTACTCTTGACCTAATATTTAGTCAGTCATGCTCCGTCATCTCTTTAGCAATGTTCTCGGGTAGTAAACTTCGACAAAAAATTTTTAACATGTAAGTCCATCTAGTACTAATCTCAACGGAAATTTCTGCATCTTTCTCTTTCTGACACTCTTATTTTAGTATGTGAATATAACGACAAACTTTTTTACATCACCAAAATACACGCGAATCCACGTATATGACTTTCTCAGGTAATAATTTAACACTTGCAATTTGTGTAACTGTTAACTTAATATCTCGGACTAGGTTATTTACTTTATTTATATCATAATTTGTTGGATTGGTACTTTGAGGAATGAAACTCAACTGTGCGGGCGTGCAAATCCGTGGTGTGGTGCCCACGAAGATGCATGCGCATTCAGGAGTCTCGTAAGTCGTTCAATTAGAAAGTCGAATCCCAATAATGCAATTCTCGTTCCCAGTATTCACCATACGCTTCCCGCGATCGTGGCGCAGAGGATTGTGCGCTGGTCTGGTAATCCAAAGACCTGGGTTTAAAAAAAAACCAAAAAAACATTGTTGGTTTTTCGTTCGATCGCCACATAGAGAAGTGGATATAGAGAGAGGTGTTATATGAGGTTTGTGCACGTTCCTTCAAAAACGCCTTGTAACCCTAAGGGGAATCAATAAAATGTATCTATATCATAATTTGTCATTCTTTTATTTTGTATAGTCTGATCGCTTGAAAA